AGTGTGGTTTCACGTGGGGAGTGATGGATCTGAGTCATTAACTGACCTTGAATGAAGTGTCGGTGATGCCGACCGGCTCACCCAAGAAAGCCGAGCTGAATCTTGAACGCCAACCACGCTCCAAAATGTTTTGAATACAAAATCACAAGTGTCGTGAACCTCAACAATTATTGAGAGGTCCTTGCTTGCTCCGGCAAGTCCCACAAGTGATGAGTAACACTCCTGGTTCCAAATTGGTCCCGCAGGGCCCAATGTAATGACGGTTGCCGACGCACCTCAAAATAGATTCTTGACGTTGAGGTGTCGGAGGTCCAATCAATAGGACCGTCGATGAGGCATAGTCCCAAATGGTCCCAATGGTGCCAAGGACTGGTACCAAGGGTTCCACCACGCCAAAACGTCAAGGACTTGCGTCGTTCCCGATACAAAAAAAAAAAAATCCCTTGCGTCACATCTCCACAAATTCGCACCGGCGTCCGCCTTGAGCGTGTGCCGCACTTGGCACCTCCCTCTGACCATGACGACACACTTGGAATGCCACACAAAATTAATTGGTGAACCGCGAACAAGCGGGTGAGCGGTACCGTCTCCTTGTCGCGCCGCAACCCGAGATCCTTGCTTCCAAAATAAAAGGCACCGCCTTGGTGTCAAAAACCAGGCCCAACGGTGGTCCCACGACACTCTCACAAAATTATCTTGACGCCCACGTATGACAAGGCTGGTAACGCTCCTCCGCATGCGGACGTAGCCTTGCTGCTTGATTACTCCGGTAACATGCTCCCTTACGTCGGCCACGTCCCAGCTCAAAATAATAGAACCCGGCCCTTGGCCGAAGCTAAGTCCAAAATGTCGCTCCCTTGAGTCTTGGAGGTGAGTTCCCGCTCCAACGGAGTGGTCCCTAGCACATGTGCCGCAGGTCCGGTACCAACCCAAGGTGGTAGCAAGGTGCCTCCACCTTGTGGCTTTGGTGACTCCTCCTCTAGTAGACTCCCAGCAGCTCCTCTAGTAAACTCCCTGCAGCACTCCCTAAGCACTCCCGCAACTCACAAATGCCTTAGAGTGTGCGACCACTCCTACGGCACGTGCTCCTTGTGTGGCAACTGCTGGGCACTGCCTGCTTTTATAGTCGAGATGGAGAGTGTGCCTCGACACCCTAGCCCTTAGACAATAATTCAAGATGGCCCTGGGCCCTCGATTTTATGAAATCGACGGTGCAACGTCGTTACACCGCAGCCGCACACTTAATGCGACTGACTTTGACTATACCTTTTTCTCTCGTTTTTATCTATTGAGGGCTAGTTCAATTAGTCATCTCGTAATTCTCACGAGATGGCTGTCACTGTCTTATTTCCAAAACAGTCTTTCTTGTATTTTTCTGACCATTATTGTAGGAGTTATGAGTTTTTAAAGTTTGACGTACCTGTCTATATTCTCCAGTGCCGGTACGTCGGGGAAAGGCTGGACTTAGATCCCTATTCATCCTAAGCCTTTCTCCCCCTCTAATGGGTTCCTAGCCACGAGATCCTTTGATCTCAAGGATGGGAATCCCCCTATGATTCCTCCTGTCCTACTCCCATGTGCTGTTGTCTTCTCCCCGGCACTCAACCCCACCCCCAGGATCAGAAAGATCCAATGTTGGGGGTGCTGAGTCTGCAAGGAGCCCATGATGGCTCAGCTGAGGCCAAAGGGAGGACCATCATGGCCATTTTT